ATGGGGTTAAGAAGGAAGTACGATTCAGTTCTAGCAGATTCATCCAAATCTGAAATCATTCTTATTCTAAAGAACTGTTGAAGGAAGAGAGCTTGGACAAGCTAGATCGAAGAATACACATTGGTCGTAGACTTACAAAGTTGTTATTGATAATTAATTATAATATTAACCAGCAGTAGCATCAGATATCTCAAATTCATTTTGGAACATTATGTATTCCTGGGGAAGTCTNTTTTTATTGCTATGACTAATTGTTACCACATGGTGGCAGCTCCAGGCAAATGCTGAACCTGAGAAAATAGAATTGAGGAAAATGACTAAGGCTCAGGGTGATGCTGTTTCCCAAGGAACGGAAAACCCCGTCTCTGAACATATGACTAGAAAGCAAACATCACATCAGCTTCCATGCCCGCTTGAAATACACTACAGAAAAAAANAGGGATGGAGACAGAGTTAGCTGACACAGCCCTGGATCTGCTTCTCTTGCTGCTAACAGAACAGTGGAAATGGCTGTGTACCAAAAACATGCAGAAATTTCTTCGTGTTATCTTCGGGACCCCAGTTCAGAGGTAAGACTGCTGAGTTCTCCTTCACATTAGAGAATCAACTTGCACAGAAGTTGAATATGATCTGAATTTGGCACTAGAAAGNAATCAACATATAAAATGCTGACTGGTTTCTATGCCATTAGGCTTTCCCCCTTGGCTCTACCTATATTTGGCTCTGCCACTAGAGTACTTTTTCTGAAAAGTAAATCTGAACATATATTCTGCGCTTAAAATCCTTCAGTGGTACCCTATTACCTACAGAAGGAGGTCATTTCCAATATGTGTCCCAGAGTTTTAGAATTCCCCAGAAGTGCTTCTGAAGCCAACTTAGATGCCAGTGGAAAAACTGAGTGGGCCATGATCCAACCAAAGCAGTTCCATTTTTGACTAGTTGAATAAACTGAGGATCTAGGTAAGGCTTTGTTTGAAAAAGGGCTCCACTGTGTTTAAAATATATATTTATTTCTTCATTGAATATTTCACTGCCTTCCTTACTTGGCATTACCTGGCCCCAGCCTTATTTCCCACTCTCCCACATGCAAACTNTTCACATTAGAGAATCAACTTGCACAGAAGTTGAATATGATCTGAATTTGGCACTAGAAAGAAAAAGTGTAGAGTCCAAGGAAACTGTGGCCACAAGAGAAGATTGATTCTCTATTATAAGGATAAAGGGGTGATGACTGCCTAGAGAGAATCAGAAAATTTATCAATTGCCTTGTTGTCTAAAGTTTAAATGTGTCTGGTTCTATAAGATTTCTAATGCACTGAGTTACAGACAGTGCCTATGATCTTAAAATATCCTGAACTCTTCCTCCTCTGGGATCAATTCTCCTCCCGCTTATATCCCACAGCCCTATACCTTTCACCTTGTTATGGTGGACATTTCTCTTAATTAATAGTGTAAAGTCAGTGTGATGATAAACAGTGGGAAAAAAAAGGAGAAAACAAATCAGTGCTCTTGAAATAAACATAATTTTCTCTGAGAGGGACATAAATATTCACCACTGAAGAAGTACGTACTGACACAGGATAGTAAAAGAGGAAAACTTGTATATGCAAAGAGGCTTTTATAATCCAGATTTTGTGATCACAGCACCACCTGATCACCTGAAAGATTTGTACATAGGTAGAGTTTTTAGCTGCTGACTTTCTAACCGTGGAACTGACGCAAGCTTTGCTAACCTGAAGAAGACCAGAAACACTGTCTCTGAGCCAAACAGACATGTAATGCTTGAGCTTTGGCCACTCTTATTTTGATTTCTCTCTTATGAGACATCCTGGCACATCCC